AGGAATCCTGCTGCAGATTTCTCTGGAGCTCCACCACAGCCTGTACTATCAGGGGAAGAATGGCTTCTGGGGAGTCTCTGCAGGTATTGTGCAAGGTCCTCCTGGTTTACAGCTTCTGAGTGGCTCTCATGACCCCAGTCCACAGAACCTCTGACTCCTCGGGCTTAGTCTGCATTCTCATGTTCTCTGAGTCCTTGTTCAGCAGCTGCTCCTCTGCTGACTCTGGATCTTTCTGGTTCTCAATGGCAGGAGCAAGAGTGGCCCATTGTATAGCATGTATTCCCAGGGGTTTTTCCATGTTTGAATGATTCACACATGTTCATAGGTGGGCATCTCACCTGGTGCATGGTGGGCCAATTGTGTCATTGTTTCTCTGTGTCATGATAGTTCTCAATTGAGCAGCAGCGGCCGGCCTGAAGGCCAGCACGCAACAGCGCTCGTGGCCGCATGGCTCCCTGTGCGCTGGGGGCCCTCCCTCCGGGGGCCTACGAGGCAGGAAGTGAGCCAGCCGGAAGATAGGCGCTCCCTGCCGGTGGCTTCCCGTGTGCTGGAGGCCCTCTCTCCAGGGGCCTGTAAGGCAGGGAGGGGGCTGCCAGTTAGAAGACCGTGGCCCTGTACAAGTTAAGCAAGTGCTCCACCATTGAGGTTCACTGTGGCCCACACTGACCATTGGAAAATATTAATTCCCTGAGTTGTATAGGTCTTCAAAGTGTGCACGTTTTATTAAGCAGTGTAAAAAAATATAATCATTAATATCCCTACCACTCTTAGCTGAGAGTCTTGAAATACTGTAAATCTGTGAAGCTCATAGTATTAGCTATGTTTTCCAGAATACTACTATTTATTTGAAAGGTCAAGTTTTATCATTGGCAACAAATACTGTCAGTTATTTTCCTTGAAGTAAATGTTTCACTTGTTTCTTTTTTTTGAGAAAATATCTGCCCAACACCAAAGTTGAAATAATTGGTTTGTCTGTCATTAATTCTTTTAACTGAAAATGGTATTCTTTGAAAGAAGTGAGTAGGTGAGCCAGCAGCTAAGTGACACAGCTGCACCTCAAAAGACATGTGCTTGAGGGTTGAGACCTTCCCCTTTTGGTTTCTTAGAGTCAGGGTTTCACTGTATAGCACAGGCTGGTCTTGAACTTGTAGCAGTCCCCTTGCCTCAGCTGAGTACTGGGATTATAGGTGTGTAAAGGATTGAGATATAATAAAGTAACTTTTGCTACTTCATTAAGATATTCTTTTTTTGTCAGGGCTGGGATTGAACCCAGGGCCTCATGCACATTAGGCAAGCACTTTACCACTGAGCTGCATTACAACCTTTTTTAAATTTTATTTTGAGATAGGGTCTTTGCTGAGTTGTTCAGGCTGGCCTTGAACTTGTAGTTCTCCTGCCTCAGCCTCCCGAGTTGCTGAGATTGTAGGCACAGGCCACCCTGCCTTGCTGAATTTTTTTTTTTTTTTTTTTTGGTACTGAAAATCAAACTCAGGACCTTGCACTTGGCAGGCAGGTGCTGTGCTGCTGAGCTATATCTCTAGCCCTATTTTTTTCTTCACTGTGATTGCATGCAGGTAACAAGTAGGATGACTACTACGAAGGTAGCAGGAATTTTCTGTTTTGCTTTTACACCATCAGTACATATTTTGTGAAAATAATTTGAACCTAGTAGATACATTGAGAGCGTGTTTCTTCAGGAGTTTCAAGACTATACTTTGAGAACCACTACTCTAGGATATTTATCAAAGACCTCTTCAGGCTGAAGCTGGATGTCCATTGGTCACAAATAGTTAGATTGGGAGGAGTTAATTGCTGTAAAGAAGGAAGGTTGCAGCTTATATTCAGTAAGGACTTATCTGATTTCTAGTTTTTTAAAATTTGAAAGAAATTTTTTTTTGGTACCAGGAATCAAACTCAAGTCCTTGTGCTTGCCACCCAGGTGCTGTCCTGCTGAACTGTGTCCCCAGCCCTAATTTTTATTTTTGTTAGTACTTGTGTGCAGTGCATAGTGATTGCATTCATCGTCTGATTTTAGTTCAACTTACGAGCTGGCGATGGAATAGAGAAGTGGTAAGTGGCAGTGGAGGTTGTATAAAACACTTCTCACTGTATCTTCCCTTGCAAATGCAGTTGAGGCCATCTGGGAGCCGAGGGCTGGCAGAATTTCAGGGGCTGGCACATCCCGCAGAGTAGCTGGTGTGCCTCTGTGAAGTGCAGCTCAGAAGTACACAGTGGAGGAACTTTCTTTCTGTGTACCTGATTAATTTAAATGCAGAGATTTAAGAAACAAGATAGATGAGATGTAACGGGAAATTTAGAAACTTGAACATTTACTCATAAATCTACCACCTAAGGATTCCAGGATTTTAAAGGTAATCTTAAGGGGGTGATACTTTTACAGGCAGTTAGTTACTGTTCAGGGAATAGCTTGATCGTTGGTATAACTGCATTTCCTCCCTGCGAAGCTGTGTGTCAGGACGACAGAGGTGACGGCTGTAAATGTCATCCTCACAGACAGAACGGGAGTGGTGCCTTTTGGAGTTAGGTGTGGTGTAGCTCTGCTGTGGAGCATAAATGTACCCTGAATGCAAACTAAAAAAACAAAACCAGAAAAAAAACCCCAACTAAGTTCATTTTGTAATTTCAAAATGTCTGGATTTTGTTAAACACGATTTCCTAACAGAGAAAAAAATATTTTTACCATTTTTGAGAGTACTTTGTGGGGTAGAGGTCACTACTTGGCAGAAGAAAATATTGTAGGAAGGCATCAGCTTTGTTGATTTTCTTAATTGTAAGGTTTTACCTCACTGCCTGATGATCAGAGTCAGAAGTACAGATCTCCTGGAAGTGCACCAGCTGGAGAGAAAGCCACGCCCTTCTTGCCATCATATGTCTACCCAAATCAAACCCAGGAAAAGCTGCCTGCTTCCAACACTTTATCCGATGAACAGAACAACTTCTGTAGAGCTCCTCATCGTGATTTTGTTTTGACTTCAAAAAGGGCTTCTCCCAATTTGTTTTATGAGTCACAATATCGAGAAGCAATTGTGAAAAAGTATGGTTCGAAGGAAGACCATCCTACAGGTGAGTTCCTGGCATTTCTCTCTTCGGTTCTTACCTAACTGCAAGCTATGATAAGATAGGGAGCTGGTCTTTCTGTGTTTTTCCAGTCCTCCTTGGGCTGCCTTCATTCTTACATGCTGCATGGCCACCGAGCCTGGACTGAAACCATGGCTGGGCTTGTGTTTGATCTTCTAAGAACAGTTGTGATGCGCATGCTGACTTCAGGTAGCATATTTTCTAAAAAGGGAGGCAGTACATTACTCATATACTGTACCATTTTTTTTGAGCACTTAGAAATAGTTTGAGGTTGATTAAAATGTGTGTGATGGTGGGGAGGACTGTGATGTAACATGTGAGAGAGGTTGGTGGTGGAAGTTACTACTCATCAATCTCTTCTAACCCAGAGATGAGGGCTGTCCCCGTACCTCGGTATTCCTAACACCCAGCACAGTCCAGGTAGAGCAGTGGCACTTACTGCTAGATAATATAAACTAAAGGTGTTTGTATTATTTTTGGTGTTTCTGGTGTGTTTTGTTTAGTCTTTTTTTTTGGTGGGGGGTGTGGGGGTCTAACCCACGTGCTAGGCAAGTGCTTTCCCAGTGAGCTACATCTCCAGCTCTCCAGTCTTTGTTGTTGTTATTTTTGTTGAGGTGGAATCTCACTTGTTCCTAGGGCTGGCTGCAAACTCCTGGGCCCAAGTGATCTTGGGCTTTAGCCTCCCAAGTACCTGTGACAATAGGTACATACCATCATCCCAGCTATCTAGTGTTTGTAAAAAAATTTTCTTTTTAAATCTTAGTCCTACTTCCTTTTTCCTTCCCCCTCTACATTGTTGTGGTCGTGTCATATGATAGTATTTTGTTCTTTTCTCAGTATGGAAAATTCTTACCGTGTTTTCTATATGTTCTATATATTATATAATCATATATAACTATATTATAATACTTGCCTTCAATGTGCTAGCCTTCAAATATGTATCAGTGTTTAATATTCTTTGTGATAGGTCAGTGTTGTTTCCAATACTTTTAAAATTTAATTTTAATGTGTTGTCATTACTTTTGAGCTAATTATGTTACAGAAAAATACAAATAATGTCCCAAAAGGTATCTCTAGTTTTCATTTATGATGGGATACCTTTGTGTTTTATTTCTAATTTAAAGTATTCTGTTGACACAGAAAGCTTAAATGTGTTTGTCTCCTTTTTTAATACAATATAGTTCTTTAAACTTTTATTTAGAAAAAATTTCAAGCATTCCAAAAAATTGAAAGACTACTGCAGTGATTATATGATTAATATTTAGCTGTATTTGTCAATATATGTCTATGTGTGCTTATATATTTATTATCTGTATAATTTGCTCAGCCATTTAACTAAAAATACTGTGCAGTGATCATGTTTGTTCATTCCAAGCATTTTAGCATGTATCAAGTAAAAATTAGACCGTTTCTCTGTGTAGCCAGAACACCATTATACCTAAGGAAATTAATAATTCCTCAATATTCAGATCTGTTTGGGGACTTCCATATTCACAGAAATGTCTTCTAAATGTTTTTGAAAATATTTTTTTTTTTTTTTTTTTTGGTTTTGGTTTTTCTCCGGTACCGGGAACCGAACTCAC